TGAAAAATAAAGCGTGAAAATGAAACAATAAGATCATATTTTAAATGTTTATTCATTGTTTATTCATTTAATCGACTTTCGGATTAAAATAAGTGACAAAAGTAATGAGTAATGATGTTCATTCGTCGCTTTCTTGATCTACGACTTCATTTTATAGTTAAGCTCATTTGGGCACACCTACACTTTATTGACAGTAGCCAAAATTGATTTATTTTTCTATGGTGTAGCTGGGGTCGAGTGTGTTTCAAATATATGCCAAATTTTTTCCGCACCCCACTGTGTATCCAAAAAAGGGCGACCATGAAAATCAGGGTATTGACACCAAAGGTCATATCTCCCCAGCCATGGGAGGGAGGGCACTGCTTCTTGGGTCAAAATTGTAGTACTCGTGAATACCTATCCAACGGTATACATTACATTTACATTTATTTACATTATGTTTGAAAAACCGGTACAAGAAAAAAAATTAAATTTTCGGGTCAAAAAAGTAATTTTATCCCCGTTTTCTGGGCCAATGGGTGGATTTATCGTTGGAGTGTGTTGGTGAACGTTGTGGAGCGACTCACGACGAACAACTTTGCTGTAGACCATTTTGCCCCATCTTGCCCCCATCTAGCTTAACTTAAAAATACACAGTGTTCCATTTGAGGACACATCGCTGTCCCATTTAAGGAAAAAGCCGACATTTTTGCGAGTCACCAAAAAAAAATTTTATGACGCGATATCGAAAAATGGACTTTGCAGCTTTGAAAAAGACACAATTTACTAACTATTCAATATATTTACCTTTCAACAAATGTTAAAAACACTTCAAACGGTGGGTGTAGGCGAATTGATCAAAAAAGTTTTGTTGTAGACAAATTTCACGACACAATTTTTTCTCACACACGCGGTACGTCTATTCTCTTCGGGATGCTACCAAAAGTGAGCGTTCGTTGAGCTAATCGTTTGGTATAAATGACAGCTCGCTGTCAAACTCAGAAGTCAAAAATACTTGAATGTCCCGTTTAAGGGAGCGTCCCGTTTAAGGGAACATTACCTTATTTATCACAAAGTTATGAACGAAAAATAAACTGTGGCCCGGAATTCCCCAATTTCCCCTAGGTGCTTCTACAATCAATTTTCGACCACTACAATAACTGTAGGTGGTTCTACAATTAATTATGTATCGAAAACAAAAAAATTTGCCATCAAAAGTTGGAATCACAAATCTTTCATATGAGGAGAAAATCGATGCAACATTTTTTTCAACGAAATTTTCAAATCGGACCATTTTTGATAGTTTAATAAATTGAATGAGCGTCTGGAGTGAACTTATTGAAACCAATCCCATAGCTAAAATATGCAGAACAAAAAATCTTGTCGTTCTAAAGTTGTCGTTCGAAGATCATTCATATTGGGAAAAAATTGACTTAAATTAGTTTCAACAATTGATAGTTTAATGGATTGAATGAGTTTCTAGGGGCAACTAAACTCATGGAAACCAATGCCATTGCTAAAATATGCAAAACCGAAAACTTCGCCGGTCAAAAGTTAATGTCGAAAATTTTTCATATGGGGAGAAAATCAATTCAATTTTTTCAGCAATCAAATTTTCAACTCATTCACACTCAATATTATAGCGACATCTATTATTAAAATAGCTTGTAGTAAACACATTCATAGCATTTCACTGTAGTTGCGATGTTACCTATTAAATTCCCCTGTGGTATGTAGTTAACAAGTGTCAAACATGAATGTGTCAGTACTACAAGGGAATTTAATAGGAAACATCGCGACTACAGGGAAATGCTATAGATGCATTTACTACAAGCCATTTTAATAATAGATGTCGCTATAATATTGAGTGTATTGAGTTTCAGTTTGAAACCGTTTTCACAGTTGTAATATCGAAAACAACGAATGTCAGTTTTGTTGTTGAAAGTATTTTTGGTACGTGGTTTTCCAATTTTGTTTCGAGTTTCTCCTATGTTGCTTGTATGAATTCGTCTAATCGTTGAAGATCTGTCCCAAATTGTTGGCGAGATTTGCACGAATTGTTTATATATCCCGAAATTTCCGAGCCCGCCCGACCCGAAATGATCCGACGCCCGACGGGCGTCCGAGTCCCGAAAATTCCTATAGCCCGGGAACCCGTGCTCGGGTTTTTCCGGGAGTCGGGACAAATTTTCAATTTCGAGCGGACGGCGGGCGGGCTTCGGGCATATTTCGAAGTGATTCGGGCGGGCCTCGGGCCAATTTTTCGGCCCGCTTGCGACCTCTGGTCTTCAATGTGATCATATGTGAAAAAAATTCAAATATACGTAAAATGAAGATAGTTTGCTCTCTGCACACTCCACCACACAGATTAGTTGTGAAAGTTTTATCGACACATGACGAAATGACTTGACAAATGGCTGTCATTGTATATGTGTGTTGTTTACGACGTTTGAGTGACAGTCAAACAGCGACGATGGAAATGAAACAAGTTCTTTGATAATTGCATCGTCCAAAGTCTTGTGCAGCAAATTCATTTTCTCAGTGATTGTCTTTCCATGGAATAGTTCGGTGAAGTTGAGAGTTTGCTAGGTGTGCATATGCACACCAGCATAATTGGCCCGCTTGAAGTTGAATGCTTTTATAGTGATGTCAGCTTCGGTCGTATTGTCTCCATGCCATTCAAATGTAGCCATTATCGGTGGATATTTTGATTTTACCCTCGAGTAAGCGGGCTTTGGAAGTGGCTATACTCTTCCAAACGGAGTCGTATTTCGAGATATTTTGACGATATTTATCGATTGGACCCCTCTCTTAGCTCTCTGACCCACATCCTGATCCCATATAGGGTTATAATCGATAGCGACATCGATTAAGGGAAGTAAGGGAAGCGCCTTACATAAACATTACTCCAAAATAGGGTCTGGGGAAGGTCAGAGAGCAACGTGGGTGGGTTTAATCGATAGGTCTCGCCAAATTAGTCTAACAAATTTGCTCCCATTACGTCAACCGATGTCGAACGTTCATTCGTAATACGATAGCTTGAACAAAAAATACATTGCTTCTTATGGAGGCTAAATGGATGGATTTTTGTAAGAGCGCCTCTAGTGAAAATATCTTAGAATGATGGAATATTTCGAACTTTAATACGCTTTTCTGCTAATTTATCCAAACTCACCTCTTAAGTGGTAAATTAAAACCAATGAATATTTACACATCGAAATATCTCGAAAACGGCTGGGAAAATCGGCAAAATGGACAAACCTGGCTGGTTTGATGGCCCAAAGTTCAAATCCAGTGGATTCGGGCTGATCCAAGGGTTCTCAGGATTTGGTCTGATTCCCAGCTTTGCCTTTCCTGTGAGCATCTTTACAAGTCACATTTATGTTTTGTATGGAATTTCACCACAGAGCAAGTGCTGGGATCAGGCCAAATCCTGAGAACCCATGGATGAGCTCAAATCCACCGGATTTGAACTTTGGGCCATCAGACCAGCCGGGTGTCTACACTCCCTTTAGGAAGTGACACCACGGTCCATTTTGCCGATTTTCCCTACCGTTTTTGAGATATTTTCATGTGTAGTTTAATGAGAAAGATATCCGCCATGACAGCATTTTTACCCGCCATGTTGGTATTTTGGTTTATATTGACCAAACATTCTCTACTTTGACAGTCAACGTTTCTAAACGTAAATACAAATATTATCTGTCATAATCACATTCACCACTTCTAATGTGCTTCAGAGAGCTTCTGACAGCGCCATCAATCCGAAGCGTTTGAAACATTCAAGGCTTCTGCTGATTTTTTCTGCCGCATTTTCATTCATGCTATCGCCTTATGCGTTCATTTTCCAGGTACAAGAATGTATTAAGTAAAAATCGACGTTCCTAAAAAAGACGATCCGAAACAGGCAAAAACCGAAAAAAAAGTTAAAAAAATTTTTTTCGATTCTGGAACAGTATTTGGTGTTATCACCACATCGAAATTCGCATTCCTTATCAATAAAATTATCATGCATTCCTAGAACCGAAACATCATCCAACAAGTATTTACAAACGAAACACCAGCGCAAACGTGTTTCAAAGTGAATCATGGAAAACAAATTTTATTGAAATGTAACACGCGGTGTTTCACTTCGAAAAATTCTCTGCCGATGTTACACTTTAAAAAAATCATTCGATTTTGTATCATAACGATATATTGTCAGAATATGTCTTGTTTTCAATCTCACTCATTCATATGTTAATAATATAATATTTCTGTTAATAACGATATTAATATGGTTAAATTATTAACATCTTGTGTTAATAATATATTATTAATTAATAATATTCTATTAACATATTTATACTATTTAAATATTAACATCTATGTTAATAATTATTCACATTTCTATTAATATTTATTAACATCGGATGTTAATATCGTGTTTTTTCCACCGCCAAGCACCCAAATGGTGTAAAAACCATTTTTTCAGTTTTTCTTCTTTTCGGTGGTTCATTAAATGTATCATGGCGTAGAATAAAAGAAAAAAACAGAAAAAATGATTTTTTCGCCATTTGGGTGCTTGGCAGTGGAAAAAAACGATAATAACATCCGATGTTATTCGATATTATCTTCCGATGTCAATAAATATTAATAAACATGTTAATAATTATTAACATAGATGTTAATATTTAAATAGTATAAATATATTAATAGAATATTATTAATTAATAATAATATATTATTAACACGATTAAAATTGTAGATGTGACGGAGGTTACAGCGTTGTTGTTAAATGCTGACAAAATAGGAGTTCCGCGCATCTATTGAAACCGAAATGATAATTTCATCACTGTTCAAATTAAACTACCATATGACATCAAAACGGCCAGTGTGGGCTTCTTAGTTTTGAACTGTAAACGCAATCACAATGACTTTCCGTTTGGTTTCAAGACTTCCCACGTCGTTGAATAGAATATGTCGCTTGTTTGCCTTGTTTGCTGTCGGCATTAGAGTGTACGAATTCAGGAATAATCGCATTTTAAGTATTTTGGAAAAGTATGGTCTCTTTATTCGATTTTATTCTGTACATCAATATCATAAACTTTAGCAGTAGCCTTTCTCGAAATCCGTACATTGACATTTCCTAGTCTATATTTAAAAGGCTGATGATGGCTTTTTGTAGTTGTATCCGTCTTCATCAGAATAGGTAGCTGCGGGAACTGGACCTGATGCTAAAATTATAGAAAACCAAAGTAAAAGCATTAGAAATGTTGTTTTGACTGAAGTGGCTTTTGAGTCTGAATAGCAGCTCATATTTACCTGGATAAGCTGGTGCTGGTGCTGATGCTGATGCTGGCGGGCTGTATGCTGGTGCTGGTGGGCTGTATGCCGGTGCTGGTGGTCTGTTTGCCGGTGCTGGTGGGCTGTATGCTGGTGCTGGTGGGCTGTATGCTGGTGCTGGTGGGCTGTATGCTGGTGCTGGTGGGCTGTATGCCGGTGCTGGTGGTCTGTATGCCGGTGCAGCTAAAATGGTAAAGACGAACGATTAGTCGATATTTGTCATTTTGTTGTTTCAATTTCAGATTTCCATCAAGAATTATGTTTCCAGACAGAGAATAATCAAAATTTCTTGACTGTTACTTTTTATTTTTGATCACAACACACCAATACATTCGGAAGGGAGTTTGTGCGACTATACCACAAATAAACGAATAATAAGAGATAAAACAAGATAAGCTTGCTTCTTTACATTATCTCACTCTATTTAGATTTAGACATAATCGCACGCAGGTGAATCTTCGCATGGTGATTTCCGTCTTGTTCTTCTTTCATCCACGTCATCTATTTCATATATTTAGGTATACTTTTAAGTAAAACTCTGCATTCTGTTTACGCACGGGAAACGACAAGTATTTTCAATGTAAACATAAAGCGAGTTATACTGACACGACGCTTGTGGTGATAGTTGAAAATTTCAATCACATAAGCGTTTGCCTGGCCGATAATCAAGAAGCCATTCGCGCAGACATTTCGCGTGTTTACGAATCACAAACGAGTAGCCACAGAGATTTCACAGCGGCTACTGATGCTACCATGTATATGAAATTCCTTTTTTTGGTGTGTCAATTCATCAGTTCCAAAATTTACTAGGGGGATTTCTTACGAAAAAAATGAATGAATTCTTATAAATTTTGAAAAATTTCTTCAATTCGGTCCCATTCGATCAACTTTTGTCAATTCGTGTAAATAAATGTACATTTACACTGAACCTTTGAATTATGTTTCAATGAAATTGTTCTGGAAGTGGGTTTTGGTGGATCTCAAGGATCGTTCAGAGCTGCTCCCGGTTCTGGAAGTGGATCTTCAGGATGGGCCAGGGCAATGTCAAACCGGATCTGGTCCATCCTGAGGATCCACCAAAATCCACTTCCAGAACACTTTTATTCAAGCAAAATCGTCATTTCAGTACATTTTCATACAATTTCAATTAAAAAAGAAGAAATAATAGAAATTTTTGCACACTTGCTCAAACTTTTTGTGTGAGAAATACCCCTAGAAAATTTAGATTATTCTGTTGTGGTTTTTTTTTAAATATTTATTTCAGAATAAAAAACATTGAAAGTACCTGGTTGACAACTTTGGACCTGTACTGGAGCTGGTACAGCAGGTGCAGCTGCTTGAGCTATAGAACGAGTAATAATTCATCAATTCATTTACATTTGTCAAATATGATGCGTTTGAGTAGTTGAAAGACTATAAAAGTTACGTGGAAGGTACGTTTGTTGAACGGGTTGAATTGGCTGTAAAGTAACATGTTGGGGTGGCAGGTATTGTTGGGTAGGCTGAGATAGCTAAAGGAAAAATGTTCAGTTGTTCATCAATTTATTTTAAATATCGAATAACAGCAAAATAATCACATTGAAAAGTAGGGAGGAAAGTAAAATCTAACTTACTTGTGGTTTTGGCTGAGGTTTGGGTGGGACATATTGTGGTTTTGGTGCCTGAGAATGAGAAAAGGTAAACTATAAACAATTCATATATATCATGATACATTAAAAGTTAGAGCAAAGCAGTCAGCAGACTCTGTTACATGTGCTGTGAGAAATAATATTTTTCTTCAAAAATTTTCGTTCGCTAACTACTTTGTAATGTGACTATAGTATATATGGAAAAAAACTTACTGCTGGTGCTGGAAGTGCTGGAATATTTAAAAAGAGAAAAAGAATATCATTCAATCAATTTCACTCACCGACTTAAGGTTACAAAAATAAAGAATCTACATATTCATTCACGTATTCTAACCTTGCTGAGTTGGTGGCAAGTAATTTGGTTTAGGTTGGGCTGGAGCAATTGGTTGGCTCGCTTCATCTGAGAATGATGGACTTGGCTGCGGATAGTTATATCCATTTCCATTGCCCGACAAATGCGAAACATCAGCACTGACAACAGCGATAACGGCTAATCCGAACAAGAAGAATTTCTGCAAAATACGAAAAAAAACCTTTTTACTCACGTTCACTGTTGTAATTAACACACCGCTGACTGACTGGCAATTTTTTCGCCAAAATAGGTATAAACTCGCTCACCATTTTTCTGAATTTGATTTACGAACTCTTCAGAGTACTTGACTACAGTTGATAATGTGTTTCAATGATCTTACTAGCGATGCGCACGATCTTTTACATCCAAATCGCGTTTGTTTTGATTATGTATGATGAATGGATCACTTCAAACCGGTCTCTGTTTATCCATATTTTTTACAGAAGGAAAATATGCTTCAAGGATCGAAGACATATTTGAACCTGTTATCTTTTGTCTGTTAAGGTTTCCACTATGGTACGCATAAATTTTAAAACTCATTAACAGCCATTTGAAGTGAGTAACTACATCATTTTTTTTCTATATTTTGATTAGCAATATTTGAAAATTATTCAAATGATGTTTTTTAGGAACATTTGAAAACGAGGTTTTCATAATTTTTTAGGCTAGGCAAATTAGTAAAAAAAATTAAAATAATGTAAATTATTTTTATCACGTTTATTCATTTCTATTTTTTTACAATGATAAAAGTAGTGGGATAAAGTTGCCGCTGTTTAATTTTCAAAATGTGGAAACTGAGCTTCATCCGAATGCTGTGCTGGTATTGTAACACCACCACTTTCTAGGGCTTCATGTGCCAAAGAGTCGGTGCTTTCAACGGGCAAGAAGCTATCCGAAGATATTTCAACGGTTTTGCGTTCATTTTGTTGCGAGTTGCCCATTTTAGATGATGTCGACTGTAAACCATCATTGGAATCCTCATTACGAATCAAACCAAGCTTGTGATCTTGTAAATGTTTCCGAAGTGCATCCAGATTCACTGATACAAAACTGCAGTGGTCACAAAGTAATTTACGATAGTAGTCAGGATGATGGCGTTTCATATGATTTTTAAAGTTAATCGATTGTATTGATGTATATTCACACTCTGTGCATTGATATTTCGTTTTCTAAGGGAAGAATTGAAAGAAACAGCTCAAATCATGTATTCTGATAAATTAATTTTTTTTTCATTGACTTACATCATTGTGACGCATTTCATGCTTTCTTAGAACACTTGGATCCGCTGTACAGAATGAACACACTTTGCACGACATCGGTTTTTCGCCAGTATGCTGTCTCTGATGAATCTATTCAAATATTTATTCTCTAATATATTAACTCGTTCTGGTTCAGGTGTGTATTGTCCACGAATTGTTTCAACGTAATCTTTCAATTTTGCAGTATTTACCTCCCATGTTGATTTTCTAGCTGATTTATAGCCACAAACATTGCAAATGAATGGCTTAATGCGATTATGTACTGCTTTTATGTGCTTGGATAGAGTTTTCGATGTAGCAAACACATTTGAACAAATATCACAGGTTTTCTTCGAGTACCAACGTGATGGACCGTTTTTGTCAATATGTGCGGTGGCAACGTGTTGGCGAAGTTGATTGAACTGTTCAAACGATGTCGGACATAATGAGCATAAGAATCCTTTCAACTGATTATGCATTTGAAGATGTCGATAAACTTTGACTGTAACAATTATACATGATTATGTTTATGAGGGGAATATTGTTCGGATTTTTGATAAAAAAAATACTCTTTCTTTTCGAAAAGCAAAACCAAAATAATGATATTTTTTATAATATACAGTGCACCCCCGAAAATTAGAAAACCTCAGAAATTAGAAATGAATTTCAGGTTTGAAAATTTGTATGGAAAATTTCTAATTTACGGGGTTTCCGAATCATTTCATTCAAAACAAAGGGAAATTCCCTTCATTTTTAATGAAAAAACGTTATGAATGTCTTTTCCATTTCGTTGAATAACTATATTAGCAGATCAGCTGAGATTTTCGACGTTTACCATGAAGTTAAAAATTAAGTCACGAAGTAATCTGTTCCATATTGTCTGCGTCAATTATCAATCTTCAATCATTAACAAATCGAAACCGATTTGTTCCATCAGAGAATTTGCATATACAAAATTGTATATAGAATGCTAACGTTTTCTGTTTACTATCGTATGATATAATAAGAACAGCCGGTCATCATTTATTTCGGTTTGTTCCGAGGAGTAGTTTATCCAGTAAAATAAACTAACAGACTTACTATATATTATATATATATAATCACTAAAATATTTACATACAATACTTGATTGAACAGTGTTCAATATATCGGTTTCAATTAAGCAAATCATTCTCCCTATCAGTTTTTCATTTGATACACCGTTTTTGGATGAAATTAGAAAACCCCCAAATTAGAAATGGTCTCGGGACATTTTATTTCTAATTTGCGGGGGTGCACTGTATTAAGAAATTTATAAATAAAATTTCCCAATTCTATTTTTTTCCTTTATTCACCTGCAAACACTGCTTTGAATGGACAAAATGGGCATTTTAATAAGTCAATGTCGATTTTATGCTCTTTCCACATATGCGATGTGCAGTCACGCCATAACTTTGATTCACTGGCACAATCCAAGCATTTGAACTGTCTCACTTGGTCCACATCGGTCGAGACGTGGCATTTTTCGTGCATTTGCCGCCTTTCGTCATTTTCAAAATAATAACCACAGCCGGATAATGAACATCTAGAAAAAAAGATTTTTCTCGATAAATTGCACGCGATGTTTTCGAATCGCCAGTTGCCATTTCACTTACTTCGCTACAAATATTTCGTTTAGTTTCTTCTTGAAGCCTTTCAGTGAGATCGGCTGTTGCCAATCAGACTCATTATCTACATTATTTCCTTCTATATTAATCACAGTTTGTACCTTATCTTCAGTCTTTTCAATCGATTGCTCACGAGCTGAATTGCCTCCAATCTCGACGTTTTCATTTTCAATTTTTTCTATTTTCTGCCTTGAAATCTTTGATTCAACACAATCATGAGCCTGTGCCAAATAGAATCATATGAGTTTAGTTATTTGGACTTTGCATTATTATCAATCAAATAACAAACCTTTATGAAATGCAATCGTAATTGTTCTTGTTTCGAGAAAATCTCAAGACAAATGCAACATACGTAAAAATCTATTTTGCCTTCAACTTTGAGTTGAGGCAAATCTAATTTGCTGTGGTATTCTTTTACACGCTCAATCATTTTATGATAGATCTCACGTTGTTGACCACCAATCACCATCGGCTCCACCACAGTTTCAACTATAGATGTTTCTTCTTCTGAGTTTACTGTGGCTTTCGCATTGCTATCAATTGGATCGGAATTTGTCTAAGCAAAATAGGAAAAAAATCAATAAATTTGTTACTGTTCATTGAAGAAAACATTAAATTCTATTAAATTACCAATTCCGTATCTATAATTTCCATTGCATTCATCGTATTGATTGTTCAAGGTTACCCTGTTGCGTATGCTTTGAGTTTATAAACTATTTTAATCGATCCAAGGAAATATATAAGCATTTAAAGAAAATGAAAATGTAGTCATTTTTATTTATCAAATTTTTATTTTTGGAACTATTTGGTAGAAAAAATGCAATCATATCTTGGGGCGAATTGATTTGTTGAACTTGAAGTTGGTTACATATTACTTCACGTGAATTCGACCCGGTTTTTGACAGTAGTTGAATACACAACTTTTACATATATAAATCAGTGGTTTACTTTTCGGTACGGGCGAATCCATTCGTACATGGTCAAATTCAGTTTTTGTTTATCATTTTGAAAACGATGACATTTCCATTTTAAATAAAGAGAAAAAAGTTTAAAATATAATTAACTAAGATGGCTTCGGCTTTAGAACATTATGTAAATAATGTGCGTTCATTGAGCTCGACTGGTAAGCAGAAATTAAATAATTTATTTGTCTACTAAGCGAATTTGTAAAGTATGAGAGAAGTATTCTTGTTTAACCTAACATTTTGCGACTCAATCGTCGCAAACAATTAAAACATAGGCACTAAAATATACAATTGATTTGACTTATGTTGCATTCTTCTCCTTTCAATATTTCTTTTCGTTAGGAAATTTTCGCGAACTTATCGAATACTTGAACGGAACGTCTGATCTGTTGGCAAAGAACGGAAATATTTTGGACAATGTTCTGGAAACGGTCGATGTGCAACAACATTCACTTGGTGTACTGTACGTGTTGGTTGCAAAATTAACAAATCTTTCGGTAAGTTTGAACCACATGAATTGCCTTATATTGGGCAGGACATTTTTACCGCTTACTTTGAATCATTTTTATCAAGAAATATCTATACTAATAAATTGAATTTACCGCATAGAATTCGTCCGCTGATGGTGAAAATGTTATCAAACTGGTTCGGGAATTCATCCAGGCCTGTAACGGTGAACAGGTGCGGCATGCTCCACAAGCTTGTAAGTGATCTATATAGTAGCAGTAAATAGTAAAATATATAAATATATTCAAAGTCGTGCTGTTATGTATTTCAAGATGCGGAATTGTGCCATCTTTTTACAAATCACATCATCAAATCCGGAACGATGCCTATTCAAGGCATAAAAGTGTTAGCACAAGCAGTTGACAAGATTCGTTTGTTCGACTCTCAATTGACGCCGGTTCATGCTGATTTATTTCAGCTCAGTTTATGTGCAAAGGTTTTTAATCCGGCGTTAAAATTTTTGGACATTGACATTACAGCTATATCTACGACTGAGGTAAATGATAAATTCCATATAGATTATAATACGATGACTAACTTCTGTTTTATTGATGTATACATATATAGGACAACAACCATGATGCCAAATACTTCTTGTTGTACTATTACTACGGTGGCATGATTTATTCGGCTGTCAAGAATTATGAACGCGCTCTCTACTTTTTCGAAGTAGCTGTCTCCACACCGGCACTAGCCATGTCATATATTATGTTGGAGTCGTACAAGAAATACATTCTGGTGTCGCTGATTCTCGAAGGCAAAATAAGCAGCATACCAAAGTATTCGTCCCAGGTGATTACCCGATTCATCAAGCCACTCAGTCATGCATACCATGACTTGGCCACCGCATACGAAACATCACAGAGCGACGAAGTTCGAAATGTCATCAACAAATATCGTGATGTGTTTGTACGTGATGTAAATTTGGGATTGGTCAAACAAGTTGCAGCTTCTCTGGCTAAAAAGAACATACAGCGACTTACGCAAACATTTTTGACGCTATCGTTGGTCGACGTTGCTAACAAGGTGCATTTGAGTGGACCAAACGAAGCCGAAAAATACATCTTGGATATGATCAAATCAGGCGAAATATTTGCGTCAATCAATCAAAAAGATGGTATGGTTGATTTTAAAGATGATCCAGAAAAATATAACACGCCCGAAATGTTCCAAAGCATTCGTGAGGATATCACTCAAGTGATGGAGCTCAACAAACAAATCGTCAAAATGGAAGAGGAAATCAAACTGAATCCACATGTGAGTGATTTGTTAATGTAAATTTCATATTTCGATCCAGATTTTGAATTCGAAATTTCTCTACATCACAGTTTGTCAAGAAGTCGATTGGTAATCAAGACGAAGATTTGGTAAGCTGTCCGTCAAAGCCATTTCCTCCGTAAGTATCACTTTCGCAATACTTTCAAATATACATATTTTCTGAATAGTTTTTTATGGAAAAACTTTCTCCCTTTTTAATTATAGAAACGATCAAATGGAGTAAGTGTTGCCGAAAAAATTGCTACTCCGGTTTAAAAATCTGAACCCCAAATAACAATTATAGCCTAAAACAAATAAAGCAAAATAAATCTGAAATCAATAAATTAGGTTTAATTTTCATTACTTCGCAGTAAGCGTTTAACTGAAAAAGTTTCAATGAAAACTATGTGTATTGTATTAAAAAATCTACACTATCTGCGAACCAATTGCTTACGAAAAATAATAATAAAAGAACGTACTTCGATATGCTAATCCTAAACACAAATTTGCTTTTTATTTTTCCATAATACAAGTTGATTTGTTCATCGTCAGATATGTGATTAATCCTGAAATTAACATAACTCTTGAAATTTCATTTTTCTTTCATTCTGATAACCACTTAATCCCAGGGGCTTCTGACTCTAAATATTAGCAAGAATATCCATAAGAATTTGATAAAAACTGTGGCAATTGCGAACAGTTGTATATAGTTGTACATAATTGTGGCAATTTACACACACAAATTCATTTCAACTTCTACAGTTCTCACAACTATATGGCAATTGTTCACGATTGTTGCAGTTGTAAATGAATTAGTGTGGTTTCACATGAATATGTGTCCTGTCAGTTGTTGTGCAAACGTCAAACATGTTTCAGTGATGTGCGCCTGGACCCTAAGTTTAATTTAAACGAATTAAATCAATTAGTTTTAATCTAGGGGAATTTAACTCTTACGAGTGCAGCATGTTTTCTGCCAGTTTGCTTGGTTCGCGGAAGTTCGACGCGTTCGTTGTACGTACTGACGCGCACGGTCACAAGTTTACACAAGTTTGTTTATGGTTTTGCGCGTTTTTCAAGTTGTTATTTGACAACTAAAACGTGTTTCAAACTAAAAATCGGTTGTTTGCGTGTATAAAGATTTTTCACATCCTTTCCAAAAGTTCAAAGATTTATATAATTATAAAATGGACAAAGGAAATATTTTTAAAGAGCTGGAGAAAGTGTTGGAAGAAAAAGTTAATCCAGATAGATATAATAAATGGAACGACTGATGTGTGCGCGTCGTCTAGCTTCATGTTTGCACACGAACTCGCACAAGTTCGCGCATGTTGTTTTAATACGGAACTTGTCAACTGAGTGGAATCATGCAAGTTCTCTGTTGAATGTAACAATTTCGTGCGCGTTTATATCATTTTTTTACAAGTTTTCACGTAGTTAAATCCCCCTAGGTTTTAATTCAATTAACAAATTAAAACTTTTCTGTATTCAGTTTTGATTCTTGTAGCGACTATCTAATTTATTTTCATAAATTATGATTATAATTGAAAATCAAGAACATTTTTGTGATGTACACCTTATGACAGATCCCTTGTGATAGATGAATGGATTGAGAATCACAAAAAACTGCAGACAATTGCGAATAATTGGGACGATACTGAATTTGACGCTACATTTGTCATATAGTGGCTGAAAAAAATATGAAATTAAGAAAAACTTTGGATAATTGTAATAAACTGTGTAAAATTTCAACACGATTTAGAGTCAGGAGCCCCGTTACCATATCTTTTATATTGAGAGAAACCTGACTGCCAGCGACATCTATGTGCCTTACAGGCGCAATGTATTGGTATATGTTTGACAGATTAGTCAAGAACCATTTCTAGCAAAGTTACAAACAAAAATCAGTTTGATATTTGGGGTATGCCCGTTACTTCTTTTTTAAGAATTCAAATCACTATGACCATTTTCCGCAGAATAATAAAAAATGTGTTATTGCTGCTCAATCTAATCAAATTATCGACCACAGCGAGCATACACACATTTGTGTAGTGCTAAAGTAAATTTTTAATATTCAGAGACGGTTTCAAATGAACTGTTGAAAGCTGGGGGCACAGACTAAAATTATGGAAATACCTGGAAAATCGCACGATGATAACGAAAGGGCGAACAATTGTAGAGCGCCGCTACAGGGTAGCGGACATAAGTTCCCAAACGGACCGGTCCGTGGTCCGTTGGTCCGCGGACCGACATTAAGTTTCCACGGACCGACGGACCGACGGGCCGGATTCACGGACCGACGGACCGGAATCGCGGACCGACGGACCGAAATCACGGATTTCAACGGTAAAAAAAAAATAAAAAAAAAATAAAAAAAAAAATAAATTTGAAATAAAATAAAATACAATTTAAATTAAATCCGCACATATTTTACATGTCGTATGATTTCGCAATAATCCATAATGGTGACGAAATATTATGACATTATTTAAAAATTAATTTAAATTGTATTTCATTTTATTTCAAATTTATTTTTTTTATTTTTTTATTATTTTTTTCACTGTTTCGACATCAAAACAAGAATGAATATGACGGAGTGAATTTGAGCGCGAACAAATTTGAAATTTTTTGAGTAGATTACCTTTCTGACATGGGGCATATGATGTTTTCGACTGTTTGGACCAAGAACTTTCCAACGATACATAACATGCCGGGGGTCAAACAGTGTCCTGAAAAAATAGGATACCTACTGTATGTATTCGTGACAGTTTGGGCTTGAAATGCAAAATTTACGGAGCCTCACTTGTCGAATTACCGTCCTTCGCCATATCATATCCACGATAACAAATTGTGTATGGAGAAAATCTGTGTTTTTTCAACCTTCGAAAAGAATATGAGTGAATATCAGAAATTCTTTCAACAATTTTTTTTCCTTGTTTATGGTATTTTCTGCTCAGAACCACTATTCCTTCCGATTTAATTCTTGGAACTTAGCCACAAATCGAAAAATATCTTTCAATATAAAGTGAATATTATTCTGCTTTATTTTATTTAGCAGAAGTTTAATCGAAACATTTTTTAAAATGAATTAACGCTTTGAAACATGCGGTGCGTTACCAACGTTTTGAAACTATTTTTTGGTAAAAGGTTCATTTAAGTGATTAAATTCTGAAAGTGTACACTGAACAACAAAGATTTCTCGATATAATATAAATATTTTGTTTATCGAAAATAAAACTGCATTTTTATTATTTCTTTAAATAAATTACAAATGAACATCTACAACCAAATATTATTATTGGTATTGCAAATCATTTCCTAATGAAACGAATTCTTCGTTTCAAAATAGATGTCATAATAAATCGGATCCAGTTAGGAAAAAAATTCAATCATACTTGGCCCTGGAAATACATTCATAATATTTGGATGACAACACATGCATTATACAATAAAGTTTTTATACATTATTAGTTATTTTTCTCCCATTTTCAAATTTTTTCTTTGTTTTTTTTCAAGATTTTATTTTTTTGCGATTTAATTTTACTCACATGAACTCTTTAGATTACAGAAAAAAAAAGAAGCGAACTGATATTAAAATATACAACAGATATTCATGATGGGTGGACAATGATTGAAATGTGTTTGTCAAAGTTGGCATTTATTGTGGCGAAGCACACTTAGCACTTATCAGATTGTTTATTATGAGCGTTGTGTGTTTGGTCATTTAATGTCATTACCATAAGATTTGCGTTGGAGCGCTTTATGTTATTGTGGACATGACTGATTGTTTTTTTATTCATTAAACTCAATTTATTTTTCTCCTATTCATTATAAATTTCATTAAATGTGATAGTTGAACATATTATGTTTGGGCTGTTGTTTGTTATATAAACTGGATGTAAAAATGAAGCAAATCTCGTTCTTGCAATCAGCAATGTTTACAATGCAACGACAGCATTTAGACTGATAAAGAAACGAAGCTATTATATTGCGTTATATTTCGTTTTAGAATGTCAGCACATGGACCTAGGACACGTTCAAATCTGTTGGAATAAATACAAAAGAAAATATTATAACATGGGACTTTGTTTGATAGGGTTTCACATTTTAAGTTCAAATATTTACCGGTTCCGGTCTAACTTCACACACTTCAAGGGTCCTCTAGCGACAACAGTAGCAGCACGTGGACGATCCAAAAGTAAAGCAATTTCGCCAAAGTAATCGCTTGGACCTAATCTGCCTACTTCACACTGAGTAGGCTCCTCATTCTAAAATCGATAAATTAATCATTCATTATTTGGTGTTAGATGAATACAATGGGTGTGAAACCAAGAAAAGGTATGATAAACGTATATTTACCTCATTCTTCTGTTGTAACACAACTGCACAGCCTTCAACAATAATGTAGAAATCGTCACCTGCTTCTCCTTGCTTAACAATTGTCTCACCATCTTCGAAACTAACGGGTTCCAGTGCATCAGCAACCGTCAATCGCTCCCATTTATCAAGACTCTCTAGCAACACGGAAGAAGAAAAAAAAATGGTAAAAAAATACGTATAAAGTTTGAATGCCATTCATAGATTCTGACATAGTCTGATCTCGTTGATCTTGACCCCTGCTGGCGTTTTTTGACCCCCTTACGAAATTGTTTGACATTTTTCGACTTATTTTTCAAAAGTGGAGACCTTTCTTTAGGTCTTCACTTTTGTTCCAAAAACAAAACACTAGATAGAATTGATAATTTTTTTGTCCTCATCATGAATTTTTGGTCTGACCCTATCTGAAATTTTTGTTGTCAGAATCTATGATGCAATTTGTTCAAGCGCGTACCCAGGATTCCTTCTAGATAGAACAAAATTTCTTTGTAAAATTTATTTATCTACTCAAAAATGATTCTTCATATTTTAGTAATTGGAAAACGATTTTCTCTTTTCTTTTGCCGTTGCACGTATTTCTACGCTTGTAGCATAAAAATAGAATCGGAGCCGAACAATCAAACTTTAATTTAATAAATGTAAAAAAAATTTGTTCGGAAAAGCAAGTCACAACCGCAATGCAATAAAACTTGAATACTAGGGGCGAGACACAAACTGAAACATTTGGGTATATAAAAATGTGTGTCTCACTTCTCACACTTTTTGGATTCAACACAAATTGAATGAGCATAATAAATCACTTCTCTAGCTCAGAACATTCAAACATATTTTTCATCAAAAAAGAATTTAGAAAGTGATCTGAAAAATCGTATGACTATAAGTTCAAATTTTGAACTTCCAAAATAAAAAATGTGCTCATTCTATGTTCTGTTTCTTTAAACTTGCGCTAACATGTTGGGAATAACAGAATTTGGATCCCACAAACTACGGGCAAGGTCTGGCTTGCTCCCCCAAGGTACGCCCTTGAATTGGTTTCAATTTTTTTTTGATACCCACCTAATATCGAAACTCGCGATAAAAATTCTTCGTACATTTTCCGCTTACGAATTGTTGAACCCATTAAAATTCTACGATATGAATCCCGATCTATGCCCCATAGTTTGACATCGGTTTTTGCTCGAACGGTAGCTGCACGGGGTGTTCCATAAATTAAAGCTAATTCACCGAAGCTCCCACCCTCTTGAATAGTTGTGACCAAATCGTTATTCACAAAAACCTGTCCGTCAAAAAATGAAAACGTAATTTTGTTAGATCCATATTTCAATGCACACACATTAAAATGTAATGTTTACCTCCACTTCACCGTGATCGATTACGTAAAAATTGTCACCTTCATCACCCTGCTGAATAATGGCTTCTCCCTGCAAACAGTTAACTGGAAACATGGCATCGAATATGTCGGATCGTTCGTTTTCGTCCAAATGCGAGAACAACACATTTTTGGCAATCGCCTTTGACAGTGCAGCCATCGTTTTGTAGTCTTTTGGAACAACCTTTTTCACGTAACTGGTGGCATCTTCTTCTGTGACAGGTTCGGCTGATATACCACCACGTCTTCGAACTGGCGGTACGTGTGATTGTGGCATCGGCAAGTCATCACAATCTTCTGGGCTAGTTGCTTGCTTGGATGTGTCCAATTTTGTTTGTTCCTATTTTGAATGCGATAAGGAATTGAACTTGAATTAATTTATCGGTGAAATTTTCTTTATTGTATAAGTTATTGCTAGATATTAAATCTGTTGTTATTATAGCGTCTCATTTAATCTCATGCTGTGTTATAAGTAATATAAGTTTTTAGTATTCGTGTAGCAGATTCATTGAGAAATAAAAGGTGTCACCTATTTAATGAAAAAAGTTTCGCGGCTGACACACACATCATGTCATTATTAATGAAGGAATTACTGTTTTTGAATTATCAATTTGTAATTGTGTCATTATCAAATTACATACACATCAAAAGAAACTAATTGCGAGCAGTTCTTCAATTTTGAATGAATTTGTAATTAAATTGATTGGATAGACCGAATATATTACCACTGCGGTTCACTGTGTTGATTTTAATATTGAATGACTGTTATATCGATTGTATTATATGTAGAGTTGTTATGTTTGATTTTTTTACGTGGGAGAAAATCAATTTTGGAAAAAAATAGGATCAAATTCTATGACTATTAAAAAATGTATGGTTAGGAAATGTCATTTGAAAATTGACTGAATCCCGTGGTCATAATTCTGATATAAAGAAGCCTTAAGATGACCTCATATTTTACTTAGTGCAACAAGATATTTCAACATAGAAAATTAATTTTATTCCGTCAATTTGTTGAGAAATAAAATGGTATTATTCAAATCAATTGATCTAATCAGTAAAGTGAACAATTGATTGGCCGATTTTTATATACTTTTGCTTGGATTGAACAATTAGTTTGAAGTTCGATAAAAAAAAAGAAATGAAATAAAAGAACGTGTGAAGGCTTTATACCATTTGTGCTTTTTGCAATAATATGGAGCCGCCATGATTATTTACCAATCAATTGTACTGAAGTACAGTGTATATTTGAGTAAGTAACTTCTCCACTACTGCTTGAAAGCACAATGGTATAAAAATCTGCAAGAGTTTACGCCTCGTTCTTTTATATTCGTATAATATATATTTTAAATATTTAATTCGAATTCGTATCTCTTGCATGACTATATAAATATCTTAAAGCATTGTTGTTCATTATCAGCAAATATCTTTTCAGCTGACAATAGAAAAGTGATTCTCATTCAAAGTGCAAACGTGGCTCATTTAAAATTTGGCTGTCGGAGAAAGCGTCAATTCATATATTTGCACACACCTTTTTGAAAGTAAATAATGAACTTCACTCAACCATACGGCAAGCCAAAATCAAAACAATTTTAAACAAATTTTTGACAAAAATAGGCAATGGTGGAACAATGAACTCAAATTGAATAAGAAGTTTAGATATATTGTGCAACATTTAGTACAGATTGAAAAATCTATTCGTGGAACCATTTCAAATTCGGATGAAGGAAGCTGGATTGCTATTGGATTATTCAAGGTCATATTGCTTGTTCATTCTTACAATACACATAACCCTTGATTCGATCATTTCAAAAGGCTGTGGTACCCTACCTATCATCATCAATAATGAACTCGCTTAAGAATCTCAAGAATGTGCTTATCAATGGAAAGAAGATTGTTTTTTTCTCTCAGATTCACAGACTCACAAATATTATTGGTTATGACTTACTGTGGAGTTTCTAATATTCAAACCAAAAATGTTCTTGTTTGCTCAATAAATTTATTTAGTTGTATTTAAAATGTGAAAGCATGTAAATTACATCAAATGAATATATAGCTATACATTCTGCAATCTTTTGGAACAAAAGAAATCTCACATCATCAAATATGTTTTTACATACAAATTTTGCTGTTTTTTTACTTGTATATAATAAAAATCCTCCCATTGAAATTTCCCATTTCGTTGTGCGAATGATAGCAAAGTTAACGTTGTGATAAATAAGGAAAGACTTGATACTACTAGCTTTTGTTGTGCTCTTTGTGCATACCGTTTTGTTGGAATATTAAACGAAAAGGATTCAAAGTGAAATGCTTAGACAACATTTTGCTGAATTATGTCACAGAACTTGGGTGTAAAAAGCTTTTCATTTTTATTGAGAAGCAATATTGTCAGAGGAGATTGAAAGCGCTACTTAAAAATAAACTAGAAAATAAATGCCTACATTGACGTAGTTGATTGAGCGCATACATTATGTGAATTTGTCAATATGCGGCAATAATTTCTAGAGACTAAATTTAAAGAAAAGCAAATAGAAGACATCTTTGGTTTCCCAATTGACCTTTGAGATCTTCTCAGATAAATTTATTGTATTATGCGCATCATATAATATGATATGTCCTTTTGACACCTCTTACAGCATTCATTCGCACCAATTTGACGTGATGCGATGCTATAAAACGCATTGTATTTAACACTTCAATAAGAATCCGAAAAAATACAAATTCGTATTCAATTCAAATTTGATTGCAGATATTCCGATTCAGCAAAAATTAATTTTCAGTTTCATATTTAGGGGAATTATGTGTAGGTTGACCCGCACTAATCATTTTCGTCATAACTTTTTATGGAATAAAGATAAATGCACACTTGATATACCATTGGAAAGAGAGCCGAAAAAGCTACAATTTGATTAGGAAATTCATTAGCTATGGTTGTAAAAACAAAATATTTCGGTCAATTTTCTAAGAGGTCTGATTTTTGGCAACAAAATTTTTTCTTTGTAAGTTGACCCACCCTATTTTTTCTAGAAAAACATGCAGTATAAACACTCAATATATGAAATTCATTGAATTTCGTTGGATTTTCAATCGTTTTTGGTCTGTACAACTACGAAAAACAATGAAAAAATGTAGAAAAATATAGAAATTGTAAAAAAAATACATATTCTCTATTTTTTCATATTTCATCGATTTTTTCGTGTTTTTCAAGTCCAAAAACGATTGGAAATTCTTTAAAATTCAGTGAATCTCGTATATTGAGTGTTTACGCTGAATAGTTGTCTCATTTTTCTGATTTTTTTTCGGGTGGGTCAACTTAAAAAATTGGTCGACATTTCAATATGCACGGAAAGAATTTCGCCATGTAACGATATGTGTGAAATGACTTGGGATTATGAAAATACACGAAAAACTAGTGAAGAAAGCTTATACTCGCTTTGCTGATATCTTTGAAATTGTCTAATTGATGATGGTCCGAAAAAATTTAGTTTTTATAAAAATGATTTTTTTTGCAAAAAATTTTTATGAGCCGATCCGAGCCGTTTAAGAAGCGTATTTACTCTTGGGAACTATTCTTTGAATCTGTAATTTTTGGTTTTTTTTTTATATTGAGTCGAAATGCGTACATCAATCTGTTTGATTGGTACATCATTCTTTAATGCATCAATCAATGTTTGAAATCAATATGATCACATTATTAATCGTGTCGTTCAGAATAAAAATGGGATAAGCCGAAACCGCGTATTTTTATGTGAATCATTTTTGTGTTTCTGGTACGAGATACGAGGCAAGTGCATCAAGCAAAGATGAAAATCTTGAAATGTTCTAAAACATTGCAGAAGACATCGATATTCTATCTCTTACCAGGAACACAAAAATGATTCACATGTTAACGAGCGGTTTCGGCTAATCCCATTTCTATTCTAAACGACACAATTGATTCAGTAAGATGAGTTTTACCAGGGTAGAGGTGTCAACGGACAAAATTTTGTCCGTCCGTCCGTCCGTCCGAACATTTTTTGAACAAATTCGGACGTCCGACTGTCCGAAAACCAAAAATTTTTTTCGGACGTCCGGTCCGAATGTCCGAATTTTTTTTCGGACGGACGGACGGACAAGGGGTTTGTCCGAACTTTTCAAATTTTTTCGGACGTCCGAAGTTCTTTCGGACGTCCGTAGAATTTCCGGACGTCCGAAAAAACTTCGCACGTCCGAAAATTTTACGGACGTCCGAAAAAAATTCAAAGCCAAAAAAATATTCGAGCCAAAAAAAAATTCAAAAGAAAATTTTCTCGGCTCCAATGATTTCTTTCTAATCCCACAATTGATCCGTTGCGACAAACAAATTCCCTCAGAATATTTTAGTTTCAAAGTGCAACAACCAACGTAAAAACGTTTACCAAAAAGTGTAAACCAACTAATATACAAACTAATATATTTTCTTTTGAATTTTTTTCGGACGTCCGAAAAAATTTGAAAAGTTCGGACAAAACCCCTTGTCCGTCCGTCCGTCCGAAAAAAAAAATTCGGACATTCGGACCGGACGTCCGAAAATTTTTTTTGGTTTTCGGACATTCGGACCGGACGTCCGAATTTTTTTTTCGGTTTTCGGACGGACGGACACTATTGTCCGAATTTTTGTCCGTGTCCGTTGACACCTCTATACCAGGGGGATTGAAGATTGACAGTTGAGCTGCACAAAGATAGAAATGTCATGTCATATGAAGACGCCATTTTTATATTTGCTTGGAGCGACTGGAGCGGTCATACATTTCTCATTCATTTTTTTCTAAAATAATATTATTATAACAAATTAAATATTTTTTAAGTGTATCTTATTTTCATTATCTTTGTTTGGTACGATTATAAAATCATAAAAACATAGTTTCATAACACATAACATGCGCGTTCTTGGAGCGGCCATCGAAATTGATTACAATAGTAGCCAACATTGATTACATTAATAACCAATAATACAGTGTAATAATTTCAACACCCAATTACATTTTTATTTGATGTTCTTTCAAAGATGAAGTGAAAAAAGCCAAATAATACTTTCGTATTAAAAACATCAAAGAGATAAATCAAATATTGATTCCTCAGTAACAATTACCTGTGGCCGATCCAGTTGGAGTGGCCGATCCAGTTGGAGCGGCAACACTCTGAATTCACCATGGAGCGGCTAGTATTATATATCAAAAGAAAAAATTCAACTAATAAAAATGTATAAAAAGGAATATTCTTACTTTCATTGATTAAATTAATTTATTATAGTTTTTCTTTTGAAAAACAATATTAGCCGCTCCATGGTGAATTCGGAGTGTTGCCGCTCCATGGTGAATGTGTAGAGATGCCGCTCCAACTGGATCGGCCGCTATTAATTATTGCTGAGGAATCAATGTTTGATATATCTCTTTGATTTTTATTAATTAATGGAATTAATTGGAGTGACCGATCCAGTTGGAGCGGCAACTCTACAATTCACCATGGAGCGGCTAATATTATTTTTCAAAAGAAAAACTACAATAAACGAATTTGAATTGTCTGAAATTAATTTAATCAATGAAAGTAAGAATATTCCTTTTTATACATTTTCATTAGTTGAATTTTTTCTTTTGATATATAATACTAGCCGCTCCATGGTGAATTCAGAGTGTTGCCGCTCCAACTGGATCGGCCGTTCCAACTGAATCGGCCGTTCCAACTGGATCGGCCGTTCCAACTGGATCGGCCGTTCCAACTGGATCAGCCACAGGTAATTGTTTCTAAGGAATCAATATTTGATTTATCTCTTTGATGTTTTTAATACGAAAGTATTATTTGGCTTTTTTCACTTCATCTTTGAAAGAACATCAAATAAAAATGTAATTGGGTGTTGAAATTATTACACTGTATTATTGGTTATTGATGTAATCAATGTTGGCTACTATTGTTATCAATTTCGATGGCCGCTCCAAGAAAACGCATGTTATGTGTTATGAAACTATGTTTTTATTATATTCCTATCGTGCCAAACAAAGGTGATGAAAATAATAGTGACACTTGAATCAAAATATTTATTATGTTATAATCATATTTATTTAGAAAAAGTGAAAAAAATGAATCAGAAATATATGACCGATCCAGTTTTTGTGTGGCCGCTCCACCAGCATGATTGTTAGTTGTGCAGCTGACCAACTGACAAGCAAACTGCAGCGCTAGTGTCTATGTGCCAAAATTTTCAATCCCCCTGAGTTTTACAGGAATTGTAGATTATCTCAACAAATACAACTGTAAATTTTGAACAGACTGAATGAATTTGGATCTGCTTAGCAGATTCTGCTACGACCACAAGAAAGTGAAATTCATCTGTAAACTCCAGCTGTAGAAGCTTGAGAAGAGGGAATAGATGCGTTTGAAAGCTAAAATACTATGACAAAATAGTTTCCAATCATTTTCAAAAAGTGAGACAGTTGCTCGAAATTTTGCAACGAATATAGTTCCTTTATTTAACATTTCAGTTGCTTACTAACAACTGACTACTGACTACTGTAAACAATTCAATTTCTTATTTGCACTGAGTAATCGAAAACGAATGTTATTGTTGTCCGGTTACATCTAAATACACGATCACACATTCGAGATTATGCGAAGTATTTGGTTGTGTTATATGTCGATTTCTTATGACATGGTTCGAAATGGCACTGAGTTTTAAAAAATGGGTGCTACAGATATTTTCTAATTTTAAAATTATCATTTGAGACTTCAGAGCTCCGGTTTACAGACATTTCCAAAAATAAATGCGCCGCTGTCACCAGAATCGAATAATTTATAAATAAATTATATAAGTAGTAGCAACCGGAAAACCGATTTCATGGGATTATGATAGCAATTTTTTTCAATGTGTTTCAATTGAGATGGAAATTTAGCAGCACTGGTAATTTAAGAACATCGACCACAATTAAAGATTAACTAACGAACACATCCGAATTATTCATCAAAATACATTTGACAATAATAATGTTCCCCGTTTGAAGGAACTAATATATGCAAATTTATCCTACCTTACTCATGTTGGATTCAATTACGCAATTATACGATCACTCACAACTAGGAGCGTATACGAAGTCCTCTTTGCCGACAGGATAGATCTTCCACAAATATGTACTATATCGTACAATTATATACTATTTCGTCTTGTTCTCTTCGTGAGCAATCGAGAAAAACTGAACACTTTTTAGGCGGATGCCACAATTGCTATTAGCTGCTATTGTCAACACATTCAATAGTATGCTGAATAAAGTATAACTGTTCAGAAATAGTTTGTGTGAATAGCTTTGGGAAGTGCCAAAAACAAAAATCGGCAATTAATTTTGAGCGTAGCGTTGATGTCCCCAAAAGTATGAATATCGAGAAGAGTAAATAAAAATTTATGTAATCGATGCTGGTTGGTAGTAGCGGTTGTGTTTCGAGCGCTTGACACAGCCGGACTGTGAGACAAGAAAAATATACACTTTTTCATTCGCGTGCTTGATGCGAGAGCTAGATAAAATATGTATCTTGCGTATTTGCTTGATAATTTGTATTTTTTTCGAAACGTTTTCGCGTATCTTTTTCTTTGTTTTGGCTCGTTTTTATATTCGATATTCGCTTTTATGATGATGATGATGTGCGCACGTATGAATATTAAGCGATCTTAGTGAATTTTTGTTACCAAAATAAATACACACATGAGACTAGATAAATAATGAATATTTTGAAGCTTCAAACTATATTTTCTTTCACACAACTAAGAAGAAAAAACAATATATTCTCAGTATCTCTTTCTATGTGGCGTGGAGTCTATAGGGTAAAACAATATTTCTTAGCACTTCTACTTTTTGGCCGTTGAATTTGAAATGTCGACACGATGTTGCAAATAGGGGGAAGCTGGCTGACTTGTATCCAAATTCAAATATTTCATATAAAACGGAGCACTGAAATCTGTACTTAAGATGTAAGGTACTGTTTTGCGTTTAAATGCGCTTGTGTTGAAACAAAGCCGTAACACAACTTAATGGGCTGTCGTTATAACTAAACGTTAGAAAAGACTGAAGCAGTGTGCCGTTGAAAAAAGCTTTTTTTTGGTGGTAAACAGTAGATGTATGAGCGATGTAGTAGCTAACGTAAGTCTCTCCAACTTACTATCGACCGCTCTCATTTGTATGAATGTATATATATACTATATAAATATATATGGAACGAGTCGCATTCCTGCCCAAATCCATATATTTTATGCCATGCGTGCGAGTGAGTCTTTGTGTGATTCGTTACAAATGAATGCTCTTAATGTAAGCGTTTGAGTGCGTGTATACCTTGCGATTTGATAATGTGACTATTCGCAGGGATTGACGACGACATGCGGCACGATAACTGTAGGTTATGTGCTATGTTTTCTTCTCACAAATATGAATATTTAACAGAATCGAGGCGCTCCAAATATTCAATAGAATCAGAAGATTCCTCTGTTTTGTTTAGCTTCTATCATATTTTCAGCCAATTTTTTTCAACGCATGTTGTTCCCTTAACGAAATCCCAAAGATACTTTTTGCTCAACCGAAATCGACTCAATTCAAGAGTGAAGATTGACAATACATGGGCAATATGTGTGCAGGGGGTGCGCTTTTACTACAAATAGATCTAACTACGTTCGTTACGTTTGAAACTTCAACGGTGAACAGCTTGTATCAATTTATTCGTTTACATACTTATATTTGTAGTTGTCGAAAAGTGCTATTTACAACGTCCCTTCGCCAGAGCGTGTCAAAACGGAAAAACGGGCGAAGCATAGCGTGTTATGAGCTGATGTCAGCAGCACTAACTAACGTCAGCTGCTGATATGAGCTTCTGACGAGTATGCGTTGCCTTGTTTTAACGCATTTGCAGTATTATTACTCATTCTTCTCTGGTTCCCAAGTCAAATTTCATATTCTCTTCATGCAAATTTGACTTGGAAACCAGAGAGGAATATGAATTTTGTACTGCAAATGCGTTAAAACAACGCAACGCATACTCATCAGTAGCTGATATCAGCAGCTGACGTTAGTTAGTACTGCTGACATCAGCTCATAACACGCTCTGCTTCGCCCGTTTTTCCGTGAATTCGCTGAAAAGGAATGGACGAAAGTTGCATCAATTGGATCTAACCAGAGATGGAGTATATGAATATCAATTCGTTGTATTAACTGTATTCCGTACAGAACGGTATATGAGGCTGTGAGAATGAAAATGGCAATACAGGAATAAACATTCTGAACCGCATCAAGAAAAAAAAATTCGCAAAAGTGAATCATGAGTTCTGAATACGCAAAAGTGAACCATGAACCTCCTATGCTGCCCATGTAAATTCATGTTTCACTTTTGCATATTCAGAACTCATGATTCATTTTTGCGAATATTTTTTCTTGATGCGTTTCAGAATGTTTATTCCTGTATTGCCATTTTCATTCTCACAGCCTCATATATACATTGATATACCTTTGCGGTCGCTGTCACAAAAGTAGTAGCTGACGCATGCGCTCAACGCGTTAAACGCAAAGGTATAAGCTTTAGTATATACCGATACACATTTCCATACACTTATGATAAACGATGAACCATCTCTGGATCTAACCAATGATGAACATTTTCGATTTCAGATGAGATTTTATCATTGAGAATGTTGTTTGCGATAATTGTTTCATATCACAATCCTCTTTGAGATAAATGGGATACTGAAGCATGGACTGCATTTTTTCGATTCTTCATGATACTTCCTATGTATGAAATATTATGGGTATTCGTCATACTGTTGCGAAACTCACTTAAACTTGGTCGAAAAAAATTCATTTTCCAATTTCGTCAATTCATAAATTATCTGAGTAATAATCAAAATAAGTTATCAAAATTCACATTGAAATTTGCATACCTATAATAGAACAATATAATCGCCTTGTTTTTTTTAAACATCCAGGCTTTTGAAATGAGTGTTAAGATAGATAAAGCAATCTTCATTAGAAACCATTGCAATAGAAATAAACCACTGTATTTTTGAACATAACATTTGAGTATGAAATAAATGTAAATCTCCCAAAAATTTTGAATAAAGAATAAAATAAGACAGTTGTGGATAACTTATTCCAATGAAAATTAGATTCGTTCTTCGCGTGAGCTCCAATTCGAAATACTGAACGTTATTAATTTATATGGCGCGAAGACTATTCATTGAAAATGTGCATTGATTTTGTCTGTATACATATGTATACATTTTGTACAATTCGGCTGGATTTAGTCAGTGATGTCAGTCAAAATAATAATGAACTACTGTACTGTTCTTTTGGGGTCTGTATCGATTTCTAATCATATTATTTATTTGAAAAAAGTCGTCTGTAACGGTATCCAGTGGTACATCTACACATTGAATCGTCTAGAACCAAAATAGCCGAGTAGTGTTCGCGGGTATTGTATCGTGTATTGAAGTACAACTTAGAAAAACCATATAACAAAAAGAAACAATTTTCCTTTGTTCGATGAATACACAAGTGTATTCTGATAACATGGCAATTCTGTTTCACTTTGTTACACTAGGCAATTCAACAACAATAATAGCATGATGGATAACTTATCCAGAATAAGTGATGATGTGAAATCTTATTTTCCAGTGAACTAAGAAAGACGAATAGATATCAATCAAAATTGTTTGTTTATCCATATAACCACCGCAGATGATAAAAACGGTTTTATTGTATAGTATTCAATATTTTCTTGGAATTGTGTAAAAATATCTATTAATGTTAATTCCGGAATTATGTTTTCCACATTTCTTCGAAAGGAACAGTACGCTAAGCAACTTGAGTGCTTAAGAATGAATAAATCAGTTTTTTTCAATCGTTTTATTTGTTTTCTACCATGATTGACGTCATTTCAAACTTCAAAGCAAACGCTGTGCATTTTTATGGAGATAAGCTTGTAGCATTATTCAAGTGCTATTGATGTTCTCCTTTGTTCTCCTTTTGAAGTTGGGATTTTCTTACAAACCATTTTACGGTAAAGCTAATATTGTCTGACCTTAACAATGTGCTGGTTTGCAAGATATCCAATAGCTGCCGTCAACATAACTTAGAACATAAACAACCAAAACGCATTAATATTATGACAGGGTTAGCTTGTGAACAGCAATGCATACATTTGGTCTGCATTAGAGGAACAAATGCAAACTCCATACATATCACAACAGGCTATTCAACAGCTAGTCCGTATTACAGCTAAAATGCAGTTCATGATTTGTAAGACAAATTTTGTATGCATGTTTATGATAATGAACGCTATGAAATGCTGACCGTCACAGCTGATACTGTTAAACAGCGGCGGGTATGTATGCATTAAAGATAATGCTTCATTCAGAGGGATCCAAATCAAATGAGAAATGTTATTCATACACTTTGATTGCATACAACTTGTTGTATGTGAATGACATGATGTGAGAAAAAGAGGACCAAAATCTCTGTTATGCACACGATTTGAGGGAAATTTCTGTTGAAACACATTTTTGAAAATGACGTTCAACATAAATTTTCGAATAATTACCTAGAATATTGTGCCCAAATTAATGTTGTCTGAAACTTCGCAAGGAATTAATGACTATGACTATACGTTGAAATGTATTTGGAAATCGCTAACAAATCAAGTGACAAGAAATATTGAACATAAAGATTTAAATCCCGTTTAGAACGTCATCAAACATTTATAATGCGAATCGAATTTATTGAATATTGGGTGGAAGGGTAATTTTCTAACTGCCAGGACAGGAGAAACTGACTATGGTATACATCGAGGTAAAAAATCAGAATCGATTATCATTTTTGTAGTATTGGGTAATATGAGCAAGTTAATTTCATGGGAACCACACCAATGGGATTTGGCGCTAGCAATAAACACATGTCATTTAACTTTGTTGTGTTAAACCAACTGTTATCATGCATTGAAGAAAAAACTGAACTAAACTTGAATGCTGTTTGATGTGGTCGATGTCTTTGATCATGATGTGATTTGATATCTAACACTTTAAGATTATTATCGAAATATTAATTAGCGTGCGCGTGAGTTCATGCAATGGGAAATATTTTAAATAAACTGGAAATCACCACAAAATATTTGCATCATTTTATTATATCATATCGCCCTATCGTTATTTTTAGTTTTGGACATTCAACTGGGCCATCGTGTCTTGATGCTTTAGGGCGAATTCGGATACTTGATAACCATTGAATGGATACTACGTGGCAGCATGGCGCAAAAATATATACTTTTTTGAAAATTGAATTAAGAAATTATAATATTGAATATGAACTCATAGAAACATTCTTGAACTTCGAAATTTTATTGACAGGCATATGGGACTCTTTAGTGCTATCTAAATTTCGCATTTCAAGAATGTTTCTATGCGTTCATATGAAAGCTTTTTTGTTGTAAACAATAAAATATACATACTGCGTGCGACGCACGCAGGAAGCAGCTAGTATGTGATATATGCTAGAGCTATTTTCATATTGACACGTATATTTGCCGACTTTTTCGGTGTGTACATCTATTTTTTAGCGGCTCAATCGAAGCACTCTTGGTATGCAGTACTTAAACAAGACCACAGATCGTCGCTTTGCTCCGCTCTGCGTTCTTGAAGCTTGTAAATTAAGGGGTTTAATTAATTTGAGTTTTCTCATCAAATTATTATCGTAAGCACTATATGGAATGTAGTTTTATTCGTAGTATACTTTTTGTTTAATTATTGAAAGTTATTTTAAAAAGTTATCAATTATGTTTGATCCTGACGCAATACTTTCTGAAGACGACAAAGTTGACGAGGTGATGTTGGAAATGTCTGTTTCACTTCATCCCGTAAAGAAAAGAAAAATGAAATCTTCAACTACAAATAAAGTCAAAAAAATAAAACTGGAAACTACGGTGGATGAATTGCAATCCGGAAAGCAGAAAAAAATGTGTTGGAAAATGCTTTTCAAAATGTTCAATTAATTGTCCAAAAAAAAATTAATTGTCCAAAAAAAAGAAACGCTAATAAATAC